TAACCATACCCGATGCAACGATAGCTGTATTCGTTGATGTTTCTCACTGATAAAACGTTTTATTGGGTGTTCTTGTTGTGATTTGCTTTGAACTATTAGTTTATTACACGATTATACCTGATAAGATCCTGTCGTTATAATGTATCACTACCAGAAAGTTTGATACATTATTTTTGTTTTCTCAAATGTTAGCGGAGACTGACTCCGCTCAGAATCATGGATTAATACACGAAGGACATCTAAATGATTACTGGTCACTATATCAATAAAACTGGTTGTTGTTGTTTTTAGGGTCGTGATTGTTTGTTTTCGTGATTTTGTTGTTGATATTTGCTGGATTTTTGTTGCTAGTGCCATTGTTTTATTTTGTTTTTTCTTCTTTTGTATGACACGTTCGGCATAGTCGTCTAAAGCGGTCACACTTGAGCCAAATGCACGACAGACTTGACGTTTGTTTGATAATGTCAGATGCGATGTTGTAAGATACTTTTCCACTATCATTCAATAGCTGATAGTGATTTATCGCGAACCGAACACTGTTTGAAATCTCTTTACTGGAATTGACAAGATCTTTAATTGGCCTTTTGATGTTTTTGATGTCGGTGACGGAATTTATGTAAAATCGCTGTTGATAAAGAGATGAACGAACAAAGATATCATAAAAAAATTTTACAAGATCCTTTGAAATCTTATGGTTTCTTGGAATAAGATCTAGTAAGATCTTTTAAGACCATAGGAAATCTTGATATACGATTGCTCGTCAGTTTTAGTAATGACTACCAACCTAAAATAAAATTATGAAAGCTCATTTCAGTTTGTATTATGGCACAGTTATAATCGTGGTTCATAGTTAGAACTATTGTAAATTGTTGACTAAAAGTTAATATAAATTAGTTATAACTAATTTCAACTCCAACTAGGCATTACCGCAAAATCGGCTTTTTATACGCCATCTCGAATTTAGGCAATGCAAAAGTACATAGGAAAATATTTTACTCTTTTATTGCTCATTTGAATAAGACGCCGTTTTGGTGCCCAACGTTTTATCTCGAAAAACATTAAGTGAAGCCTTGAAAATCTGCGTATAAAAAGTCGATTTTGCGGTAATTTCATGACTCAGGTGATTTTAAACCTATCAGTGATTATATAACACTCGAAACATTACAAGGGCAATTTCCAGGAACGATTAGTTTAAAATATTTATGTACAGTTACAAATTTATGGGCAGGGTATGTATGTAACAGTGAATATTGTGTCTTTGTTTCATCGTAAATCTAAAATTATTGCAGACTATATTTATTTATATTTTAGAGTTTGTATAATAAATAAAAATATGTATCATCCAGTGGATGTTTGGAATAAAGATATCGTGTATATTAATGTTTATCTAAGAGATATGTATGTGTGTGTATGTATTGTGGTTATTTTTTGAGTCGATTGTTGATGATGGTAAATTTAGTGCATTATACAGCGGACGTCAAAAGTCTCGCACCACTTTTTTGCTTTGAGTCGTGTATTAAAAACTACACAACATTAATTTAATTTGATTATATGCCTGTATGGTAGAGGTCGAGTACTATATATATGTTACGGGCAAACTAGAATTCGGTCAAATCTGAGATTTGCCCGGTCAAAACTAGAATTCCAGTTTTGCCCGTAACATATATATATGTTGTAGCGAAAACTGAATTCGGTGAAATTCTAGATTTCGCTAGGCAAAACTGGAATCCGAGTTTTCCCTAGCGAAGACTGAGATGCATGTGCGTGCACATGCTCGATTTCAGTTTTCTCCAGTGAAAATCGAGATTTCGCTAGGTAAAAGTGAGTTTTTCCTGGTGAAATTTAGAATTTGACTAGATGAAACTGGAATCTAAGTTTTTCCTAGAGAAAACTGAGATGCATACATATGCCGATTCCACTTATCCGTAGTGAAATCTGGAATTTGACCAGGTAAGAGTGGAAGTAATGTAACGGGAATAGATTTCAAGTTATAGAAACAAAATAAATATTTTACAAAGATGAATGAACAATCACATTGTCTAAAAGGTATTTTTTGCACTTCTTTTTCTTCTCCTTCGCCCTCCTCCCCCTCCAATCAATATCGTACTTTTCGTCAGTTGACGAGTTGTTATCTTTCTCTTGTTTTTACATCGATTAAATAGAGATAATAGCTGTATTGCTGTTACATAAAGTATATTGTACAAAACAAGAATAACACACGAAAAGGTACATTATTTATCCCCATACAAGAATAAAAAAACAGAAAATATCTACAAACAATAAAATACGCAAAAAAACAAACAGGGTACAATTAAATTAAAAAATTTTTTTATTATTAGCACAAGATTTATGTTTTATATGACATTTTGTTGAGCAGGTTATCTTAGCTTTTTTACAGGGGCAACGATTAGTCGAGCATTTAGTTTTACAATCACACGTAGCATTATTCACTGCATTACGAGATAGATATTTGCAAGCTTGAATAAATGTTATTTCTTCTAATAACGTCTCATCCAATGAACGCAATTCAACAGGAACAACAGATCGCATATCAACAAGACTTTCAATCGAAAAAGAAGAACTGAGTTCCCAAACTGACAAGCCAACTGAAAGCAATCAGAATAATTCTTCAGACATTTGGATAAAATTATGCACGGAAGAATTTTTGCATCCGTATTGGTACGGTCGACTTTATTAACTCGCACCCCAACGCAGTCACCAACATTATACACAGGAGACAAATTTTTCATATGAGAATCGTATAATTTCTGGCGTTTAGTGGCCTCATTAAGGTAATTTTCTGTCGCAAATTTTCAAATTTCACTATGTCGAGAAAATATAAGACTTCCTGTTAAAAACAATGAACAACATGTTTAGAATCAACTGAATCACTTCGGACAAACCTAGCACCTTCGTCGGATTCACTTGTAAAGAATGTTGAATTAGCAACTGAGTCTGAAATGGCAATTGTATTATTAAAAGAAGTATTCGGAGCAGTATCAACGGCAAAATTTGAATTTTTTTCATCAGCTTCTGAACTATCAGTAGTCACATCGAACTTATTCATATCATCCATAATCAAAAATCATATTGTATGAAAAAAGTATGATATTACGTGCGTCTTGTCTAATGTATAGAACAAGTTAAAATGATGTGAAAAATGCGTATGGCAGATGTTATATTATTTTTCACTTTTATCTTGTCCAGTCGGTTCAGTAGCGGTTAACACTTTCAACAAAATCACTACTTTATGTAACAGCAATACAGCTATTATCTCTATTTAATCGATGTAAAAACAAGAGAAAGATAACAACTCGTCAACTGACGAAGAGTACGATATTGATTGGAGGGGGAGGGGTGTAGCAGCACGTTAGCCCTCTATAACTTGAATAATGATAAAATATTAAGTCTTTTAATGTTTTTTTATGATAATAATAGTAATGTACGATGGTTGTTGATGATGATCGGTGAACTGCTTCTCTTCAATTGACGAAAGTTGATGAGGAGAAGGAGTGCAGAACGAAATTAAAGTAATGCAAATGAAAACACTAAATTATATTTTATAATTTTAAAAGAATACTAAATATAAACTAAATGTGCGATTTAGGTATAAAATTATAGCAGTAGAATTTCTTCTTCCTTTGTATGATAAACCAAGAAGACGACTGATGATGATGATTCTTCTTCTCTTAAGGTGAGAGAAGAAGAAGAAGTAGAAGAAGTTTATAATTTTTGAAGAAGAAGAAAAACTGATATATTTAATGAAATCTCGACACGAAGATAATGTGTCTCCACATTTCGCGTCACTATGAAACAAAATAATAATAAAAATCAATTATTAACTGATTTCACTCTCTCTATATGAAGAGCGCATAGAAGAAGTTTCTGAAACTTTGCTCCACGAGATTCGTCCTCGAATCTTGAGATAAGAGCGTCATTTTAACTGGATAGTGTAAAATTTAAATATATCAATTAGAGATTTACGCAAGAAGTTTCTGGTGCTAAATTTTCGGTGTTTTTATAAAAGAAAAGACCTGACCGCGATTTTCTCCAAATCTGAATATTAGAAAAATATTTCGACAAATTTGTTTCATTCAGAAGTTTGACTGCTATCACTCTCAAAAGTCTTAACTCTTTGAAAAATGGCTGCATCCTTCTCAACTACATCATCAACAACAAATTATCTCAACAAGTGAATATGATAATATTGATGTAGATGGTGAAGATCATTTAGATGCGCAAAGAAACATCTGTGGGAGGTGAAGTTTAGCTGAGAAATTAAGTAAAACCTTTAACGACGGCACGCGGGTCGGTCAACAGGATAAAAGTTGCATAGCTGTCATCAAACCCTGGTCGGGTTCCATGAATAACAGAAAATTGGCTGCAGTTAGTTGTAGCTGAGAAACTACCGGATAGTCTATGGTAGCTGAATGTCGGATTGGATTGATGAGCAATAATTTGTGGCCACTTCCAAAACCTGGTAGTATGGTGATGGCAGCAAATCAAGACATCAGCTGCGCGTACAAAGTGAAATTTGATTGTATTTATGACTTTCATCCAAGAATGTAGATGAAGAGTCACTGTGACCTTCTGTAGTCGTGCATAGTCTCTAGCTTTTTAGCTGTTTTTGTTTAAATAATTTTTCTTAAATATTGTTTTGCATTATAGAAGAGAAAGAGGAGAAGAAAAGGTTTGAAGATATTTCTCTTGACTATATTTTATTCTAATTGATTGCATTTTCATAATGATTTATACATTTTTGCACAGATAATTGCAAACATCAAAATTTCCAACCTCCATACTGAAACGGTCGAGATAAACGTGTTGCAGAGGGAGAAGAAAACAAAAAAAATTGCGGTAAAATACCTGAAAAACTTGGAAAAAGTTAGTGTTTTCTCTCTCCGTCCGAATCTTCGTCACTCTATGATTGAGAATGGAGACGAGGAAAAGAAGGAACTTCCGAAGTTCACAAATCTGAACGAACATGCCAATCAATACTTCGAATAGATTTTTTATCTTTCTAAATAATTTTATCTTCACTTCTTGCTCTCTCACTCTTCTATACGTCCTTGTAATAGTATCAGAAAAATAGTTGCTTTAAAATTACGCAACTCTTACTTTTTGTTAAGTTGCGTTAATATAACCCAACTTTAAAAATGACACAATTCTGCCACTTCAGTACGCATAGACTATAAGTTAAAATTTGTTTTAGAATTCTCAGCATAAAGATATGAAATGAAACCTAAATTTTCTCCTTTCTTCTCTGAATGAATATGAATGACAACCGTACGGATTATCCTCGTTATACTTTTCTTCTCATTCTTTTACATACAGCTATACTATCGTCTTGCATATATATCACTTTTCTTTTTCTGTTGTTGTAAAGAAGATTTACTAGAAAAGTGTGTTTTTCAAACGTTTTGTTGATGTAAATATTTTTCTGAATCGATCAAGATAAAATAATGTGAAAATAAAATAGGAAGGAATAGAATGATCACTCATGCTGCAAAACGGAGTTGCAAACTGCAACTAGAACACTTAGAAGCAAGCGTTTTAAACTGAAAATTAGAAACAGCTATAAATAAGGCAATATGTGTACAATGAAATATACAGTGGAAGGCCAGAGAACAGTAATTTCAGATTAGAGAACTCTGTTCATGATATGGTTTAAGTCGTTCAACGTGAATCAGACTTAAAACAGCACCATCATCTTCAGAAATTAGCTCATAATCTGGAGGACCGATTTTTCTGGCGATACGGTAAGGACCGACGAATTTAGCGGCCAGCTTAGGCGTCGCCCATTTACCTAAAGCGGAACCAGCGGTATTTGCCATCAAAACCTTCTCGCCTACGGCAAATTGTATATTTTTACGATGTAAATCGTAGGATGATTTTTGATTTTCTTGAGCTATTTCAAGATTTTCTTTAGCCGATTCATGCGCAGACTCTAAAATTGCTTTCAGACGTTCTGTATAGGCCCGTACTTCATCGGATGATCTTAATTCATCAAGAACATCAACTTCTGGACCATACATTAAGTCAAGAGGCAATTTAAGTTCCCGACCGTACATTAAAAATGCAGGCGTTTGACCTGTCGATTCATTTATGGCTGCTCGAATGGCTAAGGCTAGCTGTGGCAATCGAATATCCCAAGATTCCTTATCATTTTGAGCAAAAATAGCCAACATCGGCTTTAGTGTTCTATTAACGCGCTCAGATAGGTTGGATTGAGGATGATAAAGAGCAGTTGTTCGATACCGAATGACCATGATTTTTAAAGTTTCTCGAAAAATCTCTGCAACAAATTGCGCTCCATTATCAGAAACTATTTTTACGGGGACACCATGACGGCATATGACTTCGTCATGCAAAATTTGTGCGATTTTTTTCGATTTTATACCCCCTAAAGGAAAAAGTTCTACCCATTTTGTGAAATAGTCGATAACAACTAAAATATAGGCATTTCCTCGGGGAGTTTTAGGCAGAGGGCCGGTCAGATCGATTCCGATAGCATTCCACGGAGACTGAACTACGTGGGATTGTATTAAGCCAGCCTTCTTTTCATTTGCAGCCTTAAAACGCTGACATAGGTCGCAAGATCTTACATATTGCACAACGTCGCGACGTCCTTCCCAAAAGAAGCGAATCGATATTCGATGTAGGGTTCCGTTTCGGCGTCCGAGATGACCTGAAACTGGATGATGATGGGCTAATTTAAGAATCTCCAGACGCTTTGATTTAGGAACAACTAGAAGATGCGGGCTAAGATTGTTTTTAAGAGGAGAATCTTCTTCAAATTTTCGGACCCTGTATAATTTCCCATCAATACCTCTATGGGTTTTGGCAAGATTTTCGAGTTTTCGATGTAAAACTTCATCATCAGGTCGAATATCATCCTGAATAAATGAAATAAGAGGGCTGTAATTTTTATCTTGGCGTTGAGCCAACTTTATATCATCTAAAATATTACAATGGTCCCAAAGATTAACAGCAACTTCTTGACTTTCTTCTAGAGGACCGATAAAAATGCCATTCGTTTGTAGGACCACTACGACCTCAGATTTTAAAGGGTATCTGGAAAGAGTATCGGTATTAGAATTGGCTTTACCATGACGGTGTTTAATAACCATGTCGTAGGCATCGAGTTTCATAGCCCATCTTGCTAGACGACTTGTAGGATCTTTTATGCTTCTCAGCTATTGCAAAGATCGATGGTCTGTCCAAACTTCGAATGGTCGTCCTTCAAGATAGGGTCTGAAATGCTGCGTACCCCAAACAATGGCTAAACACTCACGTTCCGGCGCTGAATACTTTTTTTCACAGGGCTGCAAAGTGCGACTGGCATAGGCTATTACATGTTTCCTGTGCTCCATATTTTGGGCTAGAACAGCACCAAGACCATAGTCACAGGCATCCAACTGTAACATACAACGTAATCTTAGAAGAGACAAAAATATTACAAAGTTTGTATATGATTCCTCCGTTGATGAGAGACTAAATTATTCAGCTCAAAGTTCACTCACAAAGGAGAGAAAATAGTTAAAAACTTTCCA